GTCGATGAGTATCGTATTGAGCACCCCCGGGAGGTAGTGTGGACTTAGACTAATAGGGGCAGCACGGCCTCGGTAATACATACTAGCTACCTTTGATCGAGTTTTAGTTAAGAGAGTCGATGTAGGGCCCTTAGGTTGTCCAAGTTTCCATTCAATAGTTTACACGGATCATAGGCTCGTCCTGCTTTGTGTAAACTTAGATAAGCCTAAAAGATTAGGATGGCTGACTACTGGAAATTGAACACATCATTATTTAGTGAGCGAGATTTCCAGGACCAGCTGCTACTAATGCTACAGTGAGAATTGACGAGGGTATTAGTTGGGAATAAGTAGTGGGGTTTATTAAGATCCAATGTTACGTCGTTTGCTGCTGATTATAGTTGCTGATTCAATCTAGTTAGATTAGCAACGCAAACAGCATGTGTAGCCAAAGTTAATTGAGCAATCAAATCCTGTTATAGTGCGGAAGTAGCTTTAGCTAGGGTGGAGCAGACCAACTTGCTTATCAAGAAGGATCAATTTCTAGTAGAATAGGGCTAGGTGAAAAAGAATGTCGCTCGAGGCAACGAACATGGCCGCTGAACTGTGTGCAGAGGAGACTCGAAATGCATTCAATCGATGTATTGCGTACATCATATTGTTGGACAAGTAGACTGTAACTACAAACGCAGGCATATGTGAGGCTTTTCGGGCCTCCTTTCAGAACCTGTTTACCAGTCCGAGTCCTGCTCAGTTTGACGACTATTTGGCTGACTTTACCTGCCATGATACAGCTGAAGCGGCTGGGTGCAAGGGTCCAATCACAGTGAGATCTGAGAAGTGCTGAAGCTGGTTGGCCGGGAAAAATACTCCCAGATTAGATGGTTTTCCTTACGAAATGTACTTGAAGCAGTCCCCTGCCTTTGTCGTATTGCTGGAACTGATTTACAAAAACTGGATGAAGCAGGGGTTTATACCTCAACACTCCACTATGTGAATAATCAAGTTGCTATGCAAGAACAAAGTCAGTGTGGATGGGATAGTTAATTATCGGCCTTTGTCGATGATTTTAGCCAAGATCTTAGCCAGCCGTTTGCAGGCTGTCCTCTCTAGTCTGATTTGGTAGGCTTGATCATCGAGCAAATCGACACTGAAGTCGCGTTGATCAATTTAGATCAGTCCAAGGCATTCGATAGAAATGACCATCGATTTTCTGGAGGCTGTTCTGGCGGCAGCTGGTTTGGGGTCGTAATTTTACGCCTGGATCCGACTTCTGTATGCATCCTCCGATGCGCTGGTAGAAGTGAATAGAGTAAGTTTGGAACCTTTCGTATTGTCACGCTCCATTCATCATGATTGTCCACTTTTGCCTTTGCTTTACATTCTTGTGTGGTAACCTTTCCTTTGCGAGTTAAAGTTACCAGGTGCTTCCACTTCGACCAGATACTCTGCCTATGCTGATGACGTTTTGGTTCTTGTGTCGAACAGAGTCGAGACAAAATCGGGAGAGAGATCAGAGATTATGAGACGGTGACAGGGGCCAAGATAAACCGCGTCTGTTGGCTTGCGATTGGATGCGTGGAAGGGAGTTTCTCTTCTCGGGTCTTTCCTCTGGATGGACGGGCCGGTCAAGATACTCGGCGTCTGGTTGGTTCGGTCCCGATTTTCTGTTGGAGATGAATTGGTCGGGGGCACGAGGAAAGGTCAAGTTCACAGTTCGTCCGTGGTCCTGCAGGAGGCTTTCCTTAAAAAAGTGGGGGCGGAAGTACGTGTTTCGCACATCTACTTGATTCTCGTTTACCGACTCTCCGTACTTCCACACTTGTATACCACACTAATGGGTTTAATAAGGATCTTGTTCTCTTTCTTGTGGGAAGGCGGGGCTCCCAAGGTATGTCTGGAGATCTATTACCTCCATTCTGAAGGGTATGCTTAGCATTGAGATTTGTCACACTTTCCTAGACCGAATGTGTTTGCAGTCGGATGGGAATGGTGAATTTTGGAAGGAATAAGCCAGTAAGAACTTTCTATCCCTGAGAAGAATGCACATGTGAGGAGGAGCCCTGGCCTTTAACCCATCGGGAATGGCCCTTCTATCATGAATGTCGGATTGCTCTCACGTGCGACGGGTAGTGTCCAGGCGTTGTCCTGTAAGGCATTATATTACGTGACAGTTAAGGAGGTCCGTTCAAGATGGTCTGATAGGCGAACTCGGTCTAATGAAACAGGAGACTCGTTCCATATGACCTTGGGTGCCTGGTTGAAGTGCCTCCCTGACGAAGAGGTGTCACTCATGTAGCTGTGTTGTGAAGGGCCCTCTGGATTAACAAGAGACTTTGTTCGTCAAGGCTGGGAAAATCTCCAGACTGCGTTGTGCAAATTTATTGAAGACATCATGATTCGCATGCTGCGTGGAAAGTTCTTTGTCCCCAAGATCAGTTCTGTCTGTAGCAATGTGGCGCTGTCGTTGACTAAGGCTGAGCACTATGTATTCTTTTGCTTACTAAGCGTTATGTGAGTCGTGATATGGACGACGCGACAAAATGAATTCTATGGGAACTGATCTTGTTCTTTAAGCATCAGTTTAAAGTCAAGATTATGAAGGAAAGGTGATGACGTCTTCCATCCGAATTCAGCAAAAGACAAGGTAAGTCTTGTGCGCTTGTGTCAAGTAAAAGGTGTTGACTTAGAGTGGCACGTTGATGCAAATTAGGCATTTGGGAATTCTGGAGTGATCATTGGCAACTCCTGCACAAAATAGGGTAGTTTAGACTTGTTTTGCTTTTGTTTTTATTCCATAAAAGTTAAATAAACTAAGGGATATATGCTTATTGGCCCCTTTTATTTTTGTACCCATTTTCTTTAGTTTAATTCCACTTCCCCTCCCCCATGACCAGAGATATCAGTTCTCTTGTGGATGCCTTTCGTTTTTCAAGTGTATTTTTCGTATTTGTTGTTGTGTTTGGAGAAGTGTGTGTTTGTGTCAGTGCTTGGTCGAATGATTGTTTGAAATATTAAACTCCCGCATTAATTTTCTCTAGTTATCTGATGTTTGTGCCACAATTAAGGATTGTGGGAGATTTCTATTACTAACACTATTTTGTTTTGTTTCTTGTAATTAGATTTTGTTTTCATTGTAAATATTCACTGGGACTTTTAAATTTTTAAAAGTTGTTAAGACAAATTGTATATATGGGAACTACTTAGGACTTCATAGAGACTCTGAGGTATTACGGAGGCTGTAGTAAGAATGGTAAGTAAGAATGTGTTGTCTTTGTGTAAGGATTATTGTGGTATGTTTGGGTCAGTGATTGTGGCTAGCTAAGTTAAATTTTAAGACAAATGAAGATCAGCTTTCCCTATCCCCCATATTGGCATTGTGACACAATTTTATGTTTTTCGTACAATAAATTAGCCAAATAAAGCTTCATAAGCTTCTACTTAGAATTGTTACTATATTACAGGGTACTTTGGCATTAACTTATTTTTTTCGTAAGACACTAGTGTAACTTATTCATAAACGCAATTAAAAACTTTTCTAAATAATATCTTAGTTTTGTTGCATTTTTTTATTTTACAATTCCAAGCAGATTTTCTGTAACTCTGGGTCCTGTTTTACAAAAGAAAATTGATGATATAAATTTTCCAAGGACTTGTGCTTATAGCTAATATAAACATTAAGCGCTACAAAAATGAATTTCTAGTAGACATTAGTTGAGTCTTTGGGTAGTTGGCCCACAAGCAAAAACCTGGGTTTTAGAAACGACTTTGATCATGAGCAAAGATTTACTGACCATCCGAGATGTTGTTGTTTGAGATGATTCATTTGAAGTCACCACTTTTCTGTTTCTTTCAGCATGTGCTGGAGGGTGGGGGGTGAAGTTGTGTACCCACGTATTCTCTTGTGTTTGAACAATTTGGAGACAGGTGTATCTCTGCTTCTGAAAGTGAAAATCTGTGGGTTTTTATTAAGAAATTTTTGTTGAAAATACTCTTGAGAAAATAGGGTTTTAGGCTTCTCTGATTGGTCATATATTTCACATGGTAATGTTAATTTCTAACCAATAGATAATGATTTAAACGGTGGGTATTGTGGGATCTTTTTGCATGTTTGTAAATATTGTCTGTTATTGTGTAGAAAGTTTGGGCATGTTTTAATATGGTATGTATTGGCAATAATGAACAAACATATATGGAATGGAATGAAGATATATTTTTATTTCAAGCCTTTGTACATAAAGTAAAGAAAAAATGAAAATAGTTTTATTTATCTTCCAAAAAGACACTAGTCTCTTTCTAAACATTAATCCATTTTATGCTGCCAAATGCAAAGACACTAATCATCTCTTTATTATAAAACCTGGATCTGCGCTCTAAGACATTTAATGGTAACTACTGAGTGACTACTTGGGCTAAAAATCCCTTGGGCTTTGGTGTGACCAGCTTTTATCAACCGTATCTGAAGTGAGTGGGTGTAGGGAGTTATTATTATTTCGCACTTACAACATACCTATCAATATAAGTGATCAATTCATTTCATAAATGATTTTTGTTTTGACCTTCAATCTATCAACCTTCCTTATACGATATTTATTGCATAAGTTTAACATTTCATTACTCCACTTGAACAATGTGGAACCCTGATCTTAAAATATGACCTTGTACCAGACTTGGCTTAACACAAGTTAGACATCATAAAAGAGAATTGGAATTTCAAAAGATAAACTGCTCCACTTGATATTGAATATTGATAGATATACCGAGAATAATTATAGTCAACGATTTGTTCCAAAAATTTATTTACACATTCAAAGGCTTTTCAGATTCGAACTGATATGAATAAACTCTGAAATGAAACAAAGTGTAAACAGTTGTTGAATTTTTATGTTTTCTCAAGAATCCATTCCAATTCAAGCATGTCAATTTATCATTGTGTATTCGGCTATTCTCTGAATTGCTTTATTCCGTAAGATTGTTATTCTGGATTATCCAATCAATTGCAATCATTTTTACAGACAAAAATGGCGGACGAAGACGATGAGGAAGAGGCATGTGTTTGTTTATATTTTTCACTTTATTTCATTATTGTCTTCGATTCGCAATTTTTTCCTGCTATGATAATTTTTAAGTAATACATATAAACTGATTGAGGTCTGCAAATGAAAATCCCCACAAACCGGTTACAATTCGTTATTTGCTTTTTTAAGATTATTTTATTTTTGTTTGAACGCTTTCTTTTCATGTTTTTAATTTTGTAATTATGATGTAATTGCATTTATTTTGAAAGTTAATAATCTTTTATTTGTATTATGATAAGTACTATATAACAGATAAACACTTATTTGACATGCTTTCATGAAATGAAATATTTGTTATCAATAAGTTTACCTCAGCCCAACTATAAGTCGATCATCTAAAAAAATAAAATAAAAATACAAATTGAATTTTTTTCATAACTCCAACTTATTTTAATTATGAATGTTGCTTACAGACTTTAAACTTTTAATAGTCAATCACCGATTTCGGAGTTTAATCTACGCTTCATAAATCTGTCGGAACCAGATATTTAGAATGTTTACAAAATCTTAAAAATTTGACTTTCTTGTAAAATCTTTGATAACCCGCACTTGTTACTTGGTCTTCTAAAAAAATAAAAAATTAATACATTTTTTGCTGTTTATTTAATAGTAGTAGTTTTATTTATTTATTTATTTTTGTTTTAATTTACTTACACGAGTCTCTAACCTTCTAAAAACAATTTCTTTTTTCTTTTTTTGTGTGTAAAAATTTTGTTCATACCTCTACCTTTCGCTTTTAACCTTGTTTTCACCTGTGTAACGAAAAAAAATGTAAAAGTGATGATACTCAGATAGGTAATTTACTGCCTAACATTGCACAGAAAGCAAGTTACAATAAAATTTATCGCAATTATTCCTGCTGTGGAAAACAAAATTATTCCACAGTCCACATTTTGAAATTAAATGGAATTTTTTTTTAATCGCGTGGTATTCGCTTAAAATTAAAACCATCGTAAATATCTTTTTAAAAATTCGTAAAAAATAAAATTATTTTAAAGAACATAAGCAGGGGAAAAATTATATAAGTAAAATTAAAATAAATTAAAAAACGCACACGCAACAAAGTTTACAATACGTAACTCATTAACATTCATTTGTTGAGCAACACTATGAAATTGAAATAAACAAAAACAAAACTTTATTAAAGTTTTGTTTATATTTCAATTACATTTTTTAACGAATAAATAAATTTCAAAGTATTTAATTTAATAAAATTAAAATATAAGTTAACATTTTATTTTACTAAAAACTAAAGTCCTTTTTCATCTCGTGGTCATTTCATATTCCTGAAGTGGAATAAATTCTGTTTTTCAGAAAAAAAATGTCGATTTAAATACAAAATTAAAAAGTTTTAAAAATAAACAACGCGGTTCTCAAATTAGTGGATCACTGAATAGTCAGAGTTTTTAAATAATTTTAAGTGTTTAATTTTCACGTATTTCAAATAGAATTTGAAAAAAAATTAGCTAAAAATAAAAATAAAATCGTCTCTAAAATTAAAAAGTTCAAGAAAAATAAATCCATGTTTTTACTTGTGACGTTATTAATAAGTTCCGTTTTGTTGATCCACTCAATTCAATTAATTCTAATGTAAAATTATTTTTTAATATTTCTTTAATTTTAGAGTTATTTTTAATTTTATCCTCTATAACTAAAAAAGTATTGGGGTACTTCATATTGTGAATTAAAATTTAAAATAATTATAGAATTTAGAGATCATCGATAGATTGCATGATTTTCCCTTGTAAATTTGTTTATTTTTTTTTTACTCATGTTGTGAATGCCAATGCTTTAGAACTTGATATTAAAAACACTAACGGATTTTTATTTAAACGTTTAAAAAAAAAAAACTAATGTATTTTTTTCATTATTCCTAAAATTCGTTTCTAACGTCTTTTAGAATTTTTACTCAAATACGGAATTTCAAATAGAAGTCATTAATATAAAATTTTAAAATGTTTTTCTTTGATTAAATGAAAATGAAATACCTTAAAATAATGCAAGACTTCCATCCTTCCTCTATCTTCATTAAAGTCAAGAATTCTGTGGTGAGACCAAATGTAAAAAATAAAATATTAAAAAATAAAAGAATTAAAATTAAAAAAAAACACTTGCTTTCCTTAAAACCCATATCTCTCCCTCTCCCTCTATTCCAGCTAATAAGAAGCCAATCCTCAAAATAAAAGAAAAATGCTGCTGCAAAACGAAAGTTCACATATTCAAGGTCTAGTTATTGTGACTAGAAATATACCAAAATAATAGGCTCCATGCATAACTTCTGCTATCAAAAAAAGAAAAAAAAAGGAAGGAATGCTGGAAAATAAAAGGATTTTTTTGGCTAATCAAAAAAACAAAAAAACAAAGACTTTTGACCTTAACAAAACCATACTTCATGTCAGTAGTATGGAGCCCTGTCAAAAACAATATAAGCAGATATCCAAGAGGTAGAAGCAGAGAAAGGACCTGAACATATACCTGAAGAAGGCCAGAGGGCAAAATGGTTGAAATATTGTGATAATAACAAAGATGAGGACATTAGTCTGAATGTAAATAACTCTTCATCTCAAAAATTCAGACAGATGAAGTAATTGTATTTGCATGATGATGTGTATGTTTAGATGTAGTTTATACTCTTAAAAATCTATTATTTAAATATTTGGATATTTTTTTCAACTCCAAATAATGTATAGAAGTTGATAATTTAACCAAGCTTATTTTACCTCTGTGGAATTGGTGAGCCAAATTCAAATTCCAGTCTAGTTTGTTGCATTCACTTTTGCACTCATACTTTTGGAAAAGGCATGAATCTGTTTCCATGGGTTAAATAGGAGGGTAGACTGGGCTCTCTAGCTTTGGGTGGTAACCAGTCTAAAAGAAAGAAAACTGAATTACAAACTGAAGAAGGCAACAGAAAACTATTCCACTATCTTTCCCGAGAATGCATGGCGATTCACATATAATAAAGAAAAGGAATCATGACATTTATAAAAATTACCTGTTCAACTTTAACAAAGTATAAAATAATGCAATGATGCTGACACTTGTGTCGCTTTGTACTAATTTGCATATAAACTTGTACAATATTTACATATGTTTTTCTGTTCTCATTTTTTGACAGACCTCAGAAATGGCCACCAAAGATCAGCCTTCAGAAGAAAAGAAAGAGAAATTGGTAGGACTCACTTTTACAATTATATGATAGGAATAGGAGTTACATTTTTATTTAATCTTATTTAGATGTCCTGTGTTTGGTTTTAAAATTGGCAGAATATAAAGTAGGTACCTCTACTAATTCAGTATAAATTTTCAATACCTGATGTTTAAAATGAATTTTTTAAAATGTAAAAGCATTCTTGAAGATTTAATTTTTTTTAAGACATTTGTAAGCAAAATTTAAAAAATCTTCGAAAAATAAAATATATATTTGGGACATATTATTTGAGGAAAATTAGCAAATTTATTAAAGTTAAATCAATCTGATTTGAAACATAGCATAAAAATGTAGTATACAAGCATTTATTAACCATGGGTCCTGTTTTTTCTGAGGTCATTGAGTGATGTAATTGTGTGGATGGCCAGAATTGACATAAATTCACAAAATCTAAGTGAAAGCATTTTTTTTTATTTTTAACTACCTAGTAATTTTTACAAATTAACATATTTTCAGCAATTATCTAATATTTTATTGACTTTTGGTTTCTACAGTATGTTTGAAAATGCTTTCCGAAAAAATAATAATAATGAAAAAACTACTAACAAAAAAAACAATTTTTCTAGGTTGTTTCTTCTTAAAAAAAAGTTTAAAAAAAAAATTACTCAATTGAAGTATGACCTGCACTAAAATAAATACATAAAATAAAAATATTTAGTGAAATAGAAATTAAAAAAGTAACTTATTTTAAAGTTTTAAAACTTTGAAGGGATGATGTGCATAGCCTGTTGAGATGTAAACATGAAATAAATAAATAATTGCAAACAAGTGAATTTCTCAGTAAAGTTAGGACAACTCTTACAATATGTGACGTTTTAATAATAATGTCATGTATAGACTACCATACATAGAAAAATGGAAATGTTTAAACTAAAAAAATTAAAAATTATTTTAAAAATCTTTGGACAAAATGACTTGTATTAAACTTTTCAATTTTTGCTTTGTAAATATAGTTTCCACTTAATTACAATATCACCTAAAAGAAAGAAAGTACTGCAGAACTTTAAATGATTTTTAAATTGTAATACTCAAAATTTTAAAAATGAAAACAATTCTTGTAAAAATTCATTATTTATTGAAAAATTTTTTTCATAAGACAATAGACAATAAATCTTATCTATAAAAGCAATAAAGAGCTTCTCTAATTAAATAATATCATAGTTTTATTACATTTTTTAGTTTACATTCAGAGCAGATTTTCAGAAAAAAAGCATCAGTTTGAAAAAAAAAATTGGCAGTCCTACATTTTTTTAACTAATAAAAGAATTATTGGAAACGAAATTTAATTTCATGAAATTAAGTAAGTGGTGGTGGGATTAACAAAAAAAAAACAAAATTACTAAGATTTTCTAAAACAAAAAATTTCAAAAATAATTTAATTTATTTGCAAATAAGGCCTGAAAGTTTCATCAAAATCTGACATTTGATTTTTGCAAGAATTTCCAAATCAATGTGTTTTTACCAGAAAAAATAGCACAAAAACACTAAACGTAAATATATTGATCGCTGACTTAAAAAAAAAGATTTTAACCGAAATTTTGAATGTGCTAGAATGGATTAAAAAATTAAAAAAATATTTTCCTCTTAATAATAGCATAAACATTTTGACAATAAAACTTTGTTTTTATTAAGTTTGGAGCTTTTTTTTCATCATGCTATGCTGTTTTTTCAGTAGGCAAATGGAGGTACCTAACTGAATTCTTTGATTTTACTTTGTCACAGAGACTGTACGCTAAGACATATACAGTCTTATTACATTTGCTTTTTTATATTAGAAAATAAAAATAACATTAATAGAAGAATAGAAACTGCATGAAACTGACTTTGAGTTAGTATTAAAGCCATCATGACTTAGCTGCTTATATGGCCAAAGTACATCATTCATATTGTAATTTCAAGTTTCATGCTGGTCCTGGAAACCTTGAAAAGTCATGGAAAATTTACAGGGCCTTTTCCAAAGCTTGAAAAGTCCTGGTAAAACAGCAATAGCCAAAAAGTTCCTTGAAAAGTCTTGGAATTTTCTAAATTGGGCTGCCCACACATCCTTTTTCTCAATTCATGAAAGTCAAAATGGCAAATCCCAGAAATTTAGATTTTTTACAAGCTAAAATTGTCCTTTAAGAAAAATTTGTTATTTATGGTGAACAGTGATTTGTTTCCTTGATTAGACAAAGTTCGTGACCTGTAGTTACTTCTGTGTTTTCTTGTCTAGGTGATGAGAAATAATATGAAGACGTGTCTTGTAGCTGCTACCCAAGAAAAGAGGAATTAGCAAAAGCATCAGAGACAAATAAACATCTCTGTCAAAGATAATTCACACTCATTGAATTTGTAGTTGAAAAGAAAATAATAAATTATTTTACAGTAATAAAATACATTTTTCAATTTTTAATGTAAAAAGTTCTTTTGATCTCTAGTCAACGCTAAAAAAATAGATAACTCACGCATCCCAGGTCAATGTGTATCTATGTGTAAACTATGTTTGTCTAAATTGTTGCAAAAGTAACAAGTTTGAGAATCAAATTTAACTGAAAGAAAAAGGAGAGGATGATAGAATAGAAAATGTGCCTTTGATGTGTCTTAGGATAGGAAAAAAATAAGAAGGATGTTATTTTCAAACTTTGCAAGCTAATAATGACCTGTATCTCTAACTTTTAAGTGTGAAAAAATGATGTGAAAAATGTTTAAAACTTATTTATTGCTTTTATTGCTTAGCTTTAAAAGTTCAATCTGGCAACCCTGTCTGTTTACATTTGCATTTCTGCCATAGATGACTAGAAAGTGTACACACATGTGAACGACTCCTAGACATTTGATCAGATGTCATCAAATTTGATAACTTAATTAAAAAGTAGAAAAATGTTCCCTGACCAAGTCCTCCACTGCAGTGCTGTCAAACATATTTGACTGCAGATTTTTGTGTCTGTTTCAAAAGATATTGAACCGTTTCTGATAAAATATCAGAGTGATAAACTGTTGCTTCCTTTCCTTGCAGATTATCTTTTTAGCATGATCATGAAACTATTTAAAAGATTTGTAAAGCACACTAAAAAGATAATTACTTTTTCCAAACTGACTGAATTTGAAAGAATTTTGTCAAATCCAAACATGCACAAAGATGCTGCAAAGATAGAGTGTGGATTTCTGGCAAATAGTATTATGCAAAATTTATCCAAAAAAGGAAATGTGTTAACAAGAAGTCCATGCTTATGAAAATTGAAGAAGTGAAGACCAAAAAACACAAGCTTGAAAGTTGCACACAAGATTTGCTCAAGTCAGCAGGTAGCTATGTGGAGAAAGCTGAGCAGACTCCAAATTTCACACTTATTGCAAAGTCCAATGCTATGCAAAGATATACAAAGGACAAATCCATAATATCAAAATTAGAAGAGGAGCTGAATGATGAACTGAAAAAATGTTAACATCATTGTGTTCTGTGCCGTGTGCAACAAAGTCCATGAGTAGTAGGGGTAGCTAAAATGTGTTATCTTTTTGTGAAAATTTCTATTTGTAGTTTTGTTCATTAAAACCATTATAAAACTTCACAGGAAATGCAGCAATGAAGAATTTTTGACATTCACAAACCATGAGTAGTCTAGATAGCTGAAATGTATAGTAGTAAAAATTAAAGTGTGTAATTCAAAATTTTCAAGTGTAGTAGTGTGTAATTCAAAATTTTCAAGTGTAGTAGAACTCCAAACTGTAGAATGTTCCACAAAATGTGTAACATAACCAAGTCTGTATTCAGTTGTGTTTTAGCTTTCAACACTTTGATTTTTTCACTGCTTTCAACTGATCCATGTGGAACAAGCTATCAATTTTATCTGTCACACTATTAAAAGATAAATCACAAAGTTTGTGTTTTTGAAATTGATGACCATTCACTTTGTGTGTACATATGCTCGTAAGTTTCAGTCCTTGGAACTTCTTGACATAGTCTTGGAAAATATAGATGCATAAAAATTTCAAGAATTTTGTCTGCCAACTTTAGGCTACACCTATTTGGCTTTTAACCAACATTGATTCCAAATCCTTATCAGTAGCAAGAATAGAGTATAACTATTAACTTCTAAATTTTACAATGTCAACAATCCACTGTTAATTTTAACCATAATATATTAGTGTGTATAAGTTGCATAATATTGAATAGCCTTTACGTATGATGTTGAAAAATCTGTTTAACTGTTAATCTGTCACTGTTACAATTGAATCTTAAAAGTGAATAAAACCTACATTTTCTTTACATTTTTATTGATATTCAATATGTGGAGTGGCTTATCTTACATATTTTATCATTGTCTCTTTCCCTACAGGCATTTGCCAAGGTCACTTAATTATAACAACCAAAAGGATTATAGATTATTATTTGTTATTTGATAAGCAAGATATTAAAAATATAAGTTAATGATATATATGAAAGAAAAAAAAAACATGGTGAATGGTCCTTTCCTACAATCAAATAATAAAAATAATCACTTATATTGGACTTATATTTTGGTGTTATAATTTTTCTTGTATAGAATATTTTATAATTTTTGCACTTGTAAAAGTCATCATACTTAATTAGTATCTTCTGCTAGCAGTGATACTAACAGCTTAGTGGAGAGATATTTTTTACACCTACTCTAAATTAAAAAAAATTCCCCAGCACAAATATTTTATAATGAGCTTCAACTTCTCAATAGCAAAATCTGTATTTTAAATCTTAATAATTTCAGTCTACAAGGCTGTTATTCTCTACATGTATATGAATTATTATGAATATTTCTTTACTTATAAAGTTCATCCATTAGTCTTTGTAGTTTCCAATGTAATGTTTTAAAACAATTTTAAGCATGTTAAGTAATCTAAAAATGGCTTTCATAACTTCCCATTATAATTGATTTTCCTTTTCTTTCCAGTCATTGTTATCTTGATTTACTCTTGAATATTCTATTTATTTAAAGAAAGAATCATGATTTGATAAGAAATTGGATCTTTTATCTAATAATATTTATATGTTTATTGAGAATATCTTACTTATGTTTAGTCCTGTCAATATTATTCTTGCAAATTCCATTGTATCAAGTGTCATGGTAATTTGTTGAAATATTTATTCATATTGTCGAATTTAGTAAGAAATAGTATTTTTTCAATGATTCTTAATGTTACCTAGTTTTTTATATAAATATCTGAATTTTATTATTGAGCCATATCAAAGTTGACAATAGGGTTAAGAGCTTTCAATTGCAATTATCTGAGCACTTATCAACTCTTGTGTGAATATAACAGCCTCAGCTAGAATTTGAACTATGCTTATCTATTCTGCTTCAATAAACTGTTCCACCCTCTCATATCTCCCTAAAATTTCTTTAGTAAATATTTTTAAATTAGTTTGTATAGTTCTTAAACAAATTAAGATGAATTTGCTACAACTTTTCATCTTTTTGTTACGTGATCATGCTTGTAAAATCTTTGATGATAGATATAAAGGATGCTACTTATGATGATAATTTTGGAGCAGGGTCTTTTAGATAACAGTAATCAGCTGATAATATTAAGGAAAAGGTAGAAATTAGAACACATTAAATTCATTGTTATAAGTAAATTTATATTATTAAAAATTCAATTAACTTAGTTTTTAATTTATTTTAAATAAGCATTTTGGATCAACTAAGTTTATCTGTGATTATAATAAATAAATTCCTCTTCATTAAAGAAATTTTTTATTTGGTAAAAAACCCTACAAAAAATAGTTCTAACTAATGTTTGAGGTAACATTTAATTTACATGGGCACACAAAGACATGACATGAGCCAAATTTAAGAACAAATGATAAATTTATTGTTAACACACAAAATAATGAATGAATTAAACAAATCAAGTGCATTGTGTGCCAAATAATGGCCAATAACATGTATGTAAATTATCTATCTAAATGAAATATGCCTTTTTACAATAAAAATTATAATGCTAGATAAGGGCCTCAGAAAAAAAAAGCAAAGTTCCATGATAACAGTAAAGAATAGAACAATCACCCCAGCTGAAGACTTTATGTGGGAAGTGACTATGAGGTCCCTTTCAATTCTGATCTGGTGATTGTTAAATTTCTTCTGTATTGTTTATCTTTCTGAACTGGAGTGACCTGGGTTCCAACAACAGATGTTTGTAGACTCCTTAAATTAGGTACCTCCACTTTTTCATGGGGAAAACAGCATAGTGTAATGAAAAAGGTCACAAACTTAATAAAAATAAATTATTATAATTAAAATGTTTAAATTATTATTAAGATGAAAGACAAAATTATTTTTGAATTATTTTTTGAAATTTTTAATCCTTTCTAAAACATTCAAAATTTTAGTTAAAATCTTGTTTTGTTTACATCATCACGGTGGTATAATAACAACATTGACTTTTTTGCGTTTTTTACATTGAAAACATTGATTTGGAAATTCTTGTAAAAATCAAATAATTGTCGGATTTTAATGAAGTTTCCAGGACTTATTTGCAAATGAATGAAATTGTTTTTTTAATTGTTTTTTTTTCTACATATGTTTTTATTGTTTTTTTGAAAGAATTTTAAAATCAATTAATTTTTTTGTTTACAAATTTCTTAAAATTAAGAAAATTGCCGCTTTTAAGAAAATTTTAAGAAATCAAAATTAAATTTGACATTTCAATCTATATAATACACCAGAATATTTTACTGGAAATAATAAATTTAATGATTTAGCTTTCAATTAAAGCTAAAATGAAATCTTCAAGAATGTTTTTTTTCATTTTTAAAAAATCATTTTAAACTTTAAGTATCAAAGATTTATGCCGTTTTATACCCCAGGTATATTCACCTCTCGGAATTTGGAGAGAAACCTTGTGATTAGTTCTGGATGAAAAACAAATGCAGCTGTTTTCTCACAAATCAAAATATACCAAAATCATTTTTGAAATTCAAAAATTAAATAAGAGCCCAACTCAACATCTGCTTTCTCTCAGAAAAACAGATGATACATGCTCAAGCAGCTTCAATTTCTTATAGCATCTCTATTTTAGGTAGCAGTTGTTAGTGGCTTGTTAGATAATGATATTGTGTACTGATATAATAAAAAAACATCTGTTACCATATGGTGACTTTATTGGTTATAGCTTAGGACTAGGGGTACAAAATTCACTTCCAGTTTTTTAGTAAAAGGGGTTGTAAATGTAAAAAATATATAAAAGAAATCTTTAATCAGAGTTTTTAAGAATTTTCTTAATATCCATCCAACTATTGAAAATGACCAATTATTGCTGAAAAATAATATGCTACCAAAAATATTGATATAAGTGCTACTAGTTAAAATTATGATAAAATTATAAGTATATTATAAAATTTTAAAACTTTTTGTAAATCTCTAAATTAAGCTTTAATCCAGTGATTCTTAACCTTTTTCCTTTTCACCCCTTTCAAACCACCAACCAATTCTCACACACCCACTTCCAGAATTGATGAACAACAATATTGATCTCATGTGTAAATAACAAAACCATTGTGTTTCTTTAATCTTTATTCACATAACTGACAACAAAATAATACATTATAAAAACCCAGGTTACTTTCATATTCATAAAAAATAAAATTGCACTAACATGCGCTTGTACTATTCATAGTGTGTTGCTTAGATTAAAGTTTCCTTAATAAACCAGCCCTAATGATTCAGTATCCGAGCACCCCTGGTTAAGAACCACTGCTTTAATCAGACTCTGTTACAAAAATCATAATAAACATTTATTGCTTAATTTTATTTTGTCTGATCCACATTTAACATAGCACTAAATGAGAAATACTATTAGAAAATCAAATTATTACATGGTCGTCAACTACTATGCTAGGTTCTTTGTGGCATTTATTGGGTAATGGTAGTTGCTTGCATTGTCCTTCTCCTTTCCTGGTAACATAGGTTACATGGTATCAGCAACGGAGTAATTCATGACCTGACTTATTGGGAGAGATGGACTTATATCTATCCCAAGAGCATTTGTGCAATTTAAATACAAATGACCTCACCTGGAATTTGCACTTGGTTCACTGATTCCATTTCCAATGTTGTTAACCAACTGGCTAACTCTGCACCTCCCAATTTGTAATTAGAGACTTGAATTTAGATATGCTGTCAAAAATGATGTTTAAATACTTTTTCTTTGATTGTTTTTCTATGATTTTCTAAAGTTGAATCATAACATTCTATTCTAAGGGTTTGTTTAGATTTTTGATTTTCATTCTTTTTTGTTATTATCATGTCATCTCAACTAACCTATTCTTTGGTAAACAATCCATATAAGAGGAGAGAGGATTTTTTTCAGGGTTACTCTCTGCTAATATTCTTTCTGAAAACAGTAAAATAGAAGAAAAAAAAACAGAAAATGATAGCAAATATACTCATTGAACAGACCCATTATGCTAACCATTACAGTATCTTGCATGACAGAAGATTTCATCTTTTATATATGGGTCTGCTTTTGAATATTTTTTAATTATTAGTATTGTTATTTATAATTTATTATTATTATATTATTACTTATTATTAATTATTTTTAATTAACCCATTATGCTAAACTTTACAGTATCTTGCATGACAGATGATTTCATCTTTTATATATGGGGCTACTTTCCAATATTTTTCTGCTAAGCAAAGAGATTCACCCTACCAAAGACTTATGCTAAGATTCTGTGTACAGTTTCCAGTTTTGATTTTGTTTTTGTTTTCACCCTCCAGCAATGATTCTTATCTTGGGACTTTTTCCTAAAAGTATTTCTTTGATTTTTATCTTCTTCCAAATATGGCTTTCCTATACTTGTCCTCTCAAAGTTTGACAGGTTTCTCCTTTATGGTCTTTACCACATTGGCATGGGGCTCTTTATTTGCTATCTTTGGTCATTCTCTTCTCTCACAAAGAATCATTTATTAAGAAAAATATTGTTCTGTTGAAAACCACATTGATGTTATAGTACATACAAATCCATTGGATTTGTTTAGTTAGTTTTGAGTTGGTATCAAATATAAGTCAGAATCTAACAAAATGATAAGATAAGAACAAACAGGAAATGTTTATCAATCTAACATGTTTCACTTTTATTAAAGAATCTGTTTTATGAAGAAGAAAGAAAATTTTGGTATTTTTACTTTTGTTTGATTTTCATTGGTTAATCATGTTTCATGTGCATTAACTTGTGAAACAAACATTACTGTAATTTGTAATGTTTGGAATTCAAAGAGAGACAACATGGCCATTAGTGAAAAACCATAAATATTGCCTCCTGTATGTAAGCGTATAATAATTCTAGTTTGTCTATGTAGGATTTAGATGATAATGTATATTCATAAGTGTGTGTGTGTGTGTGTGTGTGTATATATATCTAGTAAACATTATGTTTGCTGGTTTTTCACATGTCAGGAGCATTTTTACATACATACTGTTTGTTTTAGATAAATATACATTAGATTCTTTAAGAATTTTAGCTATTTTTCTTATAGTAGGCTTATGTAGTTACATAGTGGATGCCTATGAGATTTATCCTCCTATTCTCCATTTTAAATATTGCTTTTCTTTCAGAAAAGTAGTGATATAAAACATGATTAATCATCTTAAACAATTCTCTTCCAATCACAATTGAATAACATTTAAACTTGATTTTCAAATTCCATTCTTCATTTTATTAACTGATATGTAAAGATAAAATTTAACCACTAATAGTTCATATTAATTTTACAAGCTAATTACTCAGTGTCAAGTAATCTTACCAATATAAGTATTGTTAGCTTATAACTCAATAATAATTTCTGTCCTCAGGTTGTTGAAAAATCACCTCATAATCCAGAGCAATCACAAGAAAATTTAGTAAGTTATTTTTTTCTTTTTGACAAGAATTGTTTTTATATCAATAGTATTTTTGTTTTTTCTAAGTATTTATAAGTTTTTTACTTAATGAATGATACTAATGAGTAAAGATTTTTATATAACCATTCTTTTCTGTGTCCTCTAAAAGAAAGGAGGAGTCAACCATCAGAATACAATTAAACATTATCTTCTTCAGTTGGATGATTAAATGTTAGGACCAATTAACTATTTGCAAAAAGACTAGTTCCATGCTAAAATTTCAAATACTTTTGAAAAATAAATTTTTACATGAAATAAGTATTCAAATGCAGACATTTTATTACATATTAAAACTTAAAATGTCAACTAAGAGTGATAAATACATTTGAGGGCAGTGGGAGGAGATGAAAAGTTCTGAGCTTGGCTGAGAAGGGATTAAAAAAAAAAAAAAAATAACTGATGTTTAGATTTTGGGAAGTGGATTAGGTTGGAAATTTTATGTACTCCTTTATACAAACATCATTTTCTCACTAACAATGCCAAATAACTTTGTAAGAGAATAATTTTTTGATTTCTTTTCCTGTATTATTATTTAAAATAAATTAGTTTTGAATGAAGATTTTATGAAATAAGAGACCATTGTAAATTCTTAGTGATTTATTCCCATTCTAACTTGAAAATTTTTCAGTATTCAGAAACAGCTTTCAAAGATACTTTCTGTACATTTGATAAGAGTCATTCCAAACATTGTTCAAGATGTTGAACTTCTATTATTTTTTTTTATCACAATGTTCATTCTACAGCTGTTTTTAGGTGTACAATATATAAAGAAAGGGAAGAAAACTCTTTTTCTGTAAAAAAAAAAAAAAAAAATAATGATTCTCTTCATGGTTCATTCAGCCACTAGAGCACACAGGAACTATTTTCAGCTATACCAGTGTGACAGCTCTCATCACAACAGGTGCCTATTTGTTGCTGCTTGTAAATGAGTCCTTGAAGGAGCTAATTCTCCGTAGGCTGAGAGAATAAGAAACCGCATTATATTTAACAACTTTGGCTCTTGTGATTACTGATAGCTCTGTAATAGGGTATTAAATAAGTGTAAGGTTTCTATTCCTTCCCTCTTCAATCAATTTGAGGTGTTTCTCTGTTGATAAAGCTGAATGCTTTGCCCACAAATTCTCTTAAAACTCTACTTTTGACTTATCTGAATTATCCCTGCCTAACTGCCCACTAAGAACTGAGTCTGAGTAATATTCATATAACCCCTTACATGGTTTCTGTTATCATCTCTAACCTAGATCCCCACAAAGCATGCAGACCCAATGGTACCACTGTAATAGTCATTAAGAAGTGAGCTGGTTCCTGTTCTGGAAGTCATCATCTGTTGTTCCATTTTTTTAAGAAGTCTGATAAACCCTCCAACCCTTCCAACTATCGGCCTATTAGCCATCTCCTTTTTTTTGTGAAACTCCTAGAGGCTCTAATCAAAGCCAAATTGGCTCATCATCTCTCATTGCAAGGACTTTTTTCAGACATGCAATATTGGCTCTCATTTTCCCATGTCAACTGCTGATGTACAGATGATAATTGCGGAAAGAGTCTATTATGCTTTAGGTAAAAATGAAGTCTTTGACAGAGTTTGGCATACAGGTCTTCTCCACAAGCTGAAAAGTACAGTGTCTCCAGTCTCATTTTTGAATTGATCCAGTCTTTCCTATCAAATTGTGAAATTAAAGTTATCCTAAATGTCCACTCATCTAGATCCTTTCATACTAATGTGGATGTCCCCCAGGACTCCATCCTTGGTCCTACTCTGGTTTTAATTTTCATTAATGACCTTTCCAATGACATCAGCTTTCAACTTGGTATCTATGCTGATGACGCAACCATTTACTCCTGCCTTGATAGTAAGGCTAATCATTCTGACAAGGTTAAAATGGCAGCTGATGTCCAAAATGACTTCCAGTCTGTTGCTAACTGGGGCAAAAGATAGCGTGCTAATTTTAATACCTCCAAGACTAAACTTCTCTCCATTAATCTCTGCCTTTCATCAGCATGGCTGATGCTAACCTCCAGGAAAGTGACTTATTGCACCTTCTCTGGCTAAAGTTCTCAGCTGACATGAAGTGAAAAGACTATATTGAATCCATTGCTAAGAAAGTTGGTTCACTGTGTCATGTGAAACAATTTTTCTCTCCAGAATCTATCATGCATATCTATAAGCCCATGCTTAGAATATTGCTGCCATATATGGTCCGATGCCTCTGCTATTTACCTTGAACGCTTTGATAAAATCCAAAGAAGAATCAACAATATTATTGATCCTTATCTGGCGGCTTCACTTCAGTCACTTTCCCACTGCTGTAAGGTTGCCTTTTTGTGCCTTTTCAATACATACTTTTATGGTAATTGTTTGAATGCGCTCTTTACTATGGCACCTAGACTTTTTGAATTTAAGCACAGTATTAGACTGGTGTTGAGATCTCATTGATTTAAAGTTGAGATGTAGCTGTAAATCCTATGCTAACAGTTTCTTTTCTTGCACTTCTTGCTTGAGGAACACCATTCTGGCTCCTTGTTTTCCAGACAACTTTAATCTGCAAAAATTTAAAAGCAATGTCAATTGCTATCTATTGTCCTGATTACTGTTTCCTCTTCCCATTCATTATTAATGTTTTTGTTCCTAATTCTTCCACACTTAGTAATCCCTTTGTCTTACTGGCTTTACTATATTGCATGCCGTGAAACTGATAAAAAAAAAAAAAAAAACTGATCAGTCAAAATGTTGTGGTGAGAATAGAAAAAAATGGAGTTAAATCTAATAACTCTTAGAAGAATTATGAATTTTATGTTAAAATAGGAGGACTTAGAATGTTTGTTTTGGAGTGGGGTGGGTTATCCTTCTGTGATTCATATTCATCCCTATTTTTATAAAAGACATTTTTCTGTTTGTTTTCTTTTTTGACAGATCACTGAAGAGTTGCCTCATCATCCAGCTGAATCACGTGAAAATTTGGTGAGTTATGAAAAACTTTATTCTTTTTTAAATAATTCTCTGATATGTTAGATTTACAAAGAAAATATTCCATCAATCATGATTGTAAAAATTAAATTCAGAATTGTTTTCTGTCCAATGGTTATTTTAATTTTAGAAATTCAGATCTCTTCAACAATCATACATTTTTGGGTTTATAAAATTTGTAACTCAGTGATGTTAGATTGGTGAAGTTCTTAATAAATTAAGGAAGTTTTATTTTAATTGCGTAAAAAAAAAGTATTAAACTATTCTACAATTGCCAGTATACAAAATAGATTTAAGTTCTTTTCAAAATGAAAATATTTTTTTAATTTTATTTATTAAATAAAAGTGATATTTTTTATTTTTTTATATTGAAATTCTTCATAAAGGGGTTCTTTAAAAACTTATGTATTTGATGACATATAATGTTACCCCCTGCCCAGTTTACATATAGAACTATAGAGTGAAACTAGGTACAAATACTGGTTGTCTGTGGTGCATGGGTAAACATTAATCTACCAGATACCTCAATTTTGCAAATAAAACCCAGATGTTTTGAGGCTTTTGCTAGGGGGAAAAGAAGGGTACTATTTACAGTATACCATAATGATAATAGATTTAAATGTTCTGCCTGGTATGTTAAAAATGAATCTAACTATAAAAAGGTAATGTTGTGAGTGTGCTGGTTCTGCATTACAGACACAAGGAGAGACTTTAAAACAGTGTCACTGCAGAGGAAAGAAAAACTACTTTTGATTGGGTAAAACACTATCAGTCATGAAATATACAGCTTATCATAGATCACAGTCACTGATGTATGGAATCATTGTCTTTTTTTAGCAATTGCAGGCTTCTTAGTGACTGTCACTAAGAAGCCTGCAAATCCTTAAATACTCACTGAATTCATGCATATTCAGCATTATAAAAATTCCACTCACATATGTACTTTTTTCACATTGCAAATGTCCACTGGTATGCAAAGCACTGTATTCATTTTACTTCAGTTAAGCAAAATGGAAATTTATCATAGTTAACTGGTAAATTTAGCAAGGATAATATGAAAAGTTATATCAAGGAATGGCCCCTGAATTCCCACATTAAATGTTGATTGGAAAAGTTTTTAAGAACATCTATAAAGTTTATCACTCTGGGGAGCAACTTTGTAATTGTCACCATTAAGAAGTTCACTATTATGAAGAAGTTGAGATTTTTATATCAACAAGTAGAAATATTTCAGGTCAAAAGTTTCCACCATATTCTGTGAATATAGTTTTCTTATTTTTTTCTTATTTTCAGATACACACTGCAGTTTCATTTCTGCAGAACCCCAAAGTTCGAGATGGACCTGTGGCTCACAAGAAAGCATTCTTAAGGAAGAAAGGTAATTTACAAAAATTTGCATAAAATTTTGATTTAGAAACAATTTCTTTACAAATTTGTATGTATTTTGATATGATCGGATAAGGAACAAATAGGAAATGTTTATAAATTTAACATTTTTCTTTTATTTAAGCTTCAGCAGAAATGAAATATGGAGGAGAAAAGAAATTTTTATTTTTTTATTGCTTGTTTTTTATTGTTAGTGTATTTTTTTTGTCAGCATTCATGTGTACAATTTAAGTGTGTTTGTGTATCATAATTCTATTTGGTCTATACAGGACTTGGTTGATAATGTGTGTGCATTTATGTGTCTTGAGGCCATCTTTATTTCTGTTTGGTAGTGCTCATATGTTAATTGGAGAATGTTTCGTGTGGGAGTAAAAGGATTTAGGTTACACTGATTATGGGTGTTGGTAGACTGATTTTAGATTCTTTAAGTATGGATTTTAAAAATGTTGGCGATATAATAAAGTGTCTGTCTATATCTGTAAATAGTGTACATAATAAAGTGTGTTTCGTATATGTTTATTGATGTGTTTATTTATCAGGATTCCTTGTATTTTCTACATAAATTATGTATAGTTGATTTGTAAATCAATTGTTATGAAGTAACTACAGCCAATTAATTCCAAATTCAACCCCAGGACCTACTCACTCCTGTTGGAGGAACTCCTCCCTAATTGACAACATCTTCACAGGTGTAGCCATACTCACCACATTTATTCAATTGCAAGTTGCTCAGGTTATTTAACTCATAGTTGGGATGGATGGACATTGACTCTGAGGAGATCATCCACCCTTTAACAGCTCTTATTTTTTGTGTTGCTGGGGTTCAACTTACCCTCCTCACCAGACCTGTGTCTGGTGGGAGAGCTGGCTTAGTTGCTGAACACACTGGTTTTGAATTCAGAGTTGTCCTCCTAGACCAGCTTCCACCTAAACTATAGAACCGAGTCTTTCCTGCTATTTACATATAGCTGGTTGGGGAAGAGATGGGTTCATACATTTCCCAAGGTATTTGCACGACTGAAATTTGAACTTGGCTCTCTGATTTCTCAATCTGAGTTACTATTCATCAGTCCACCCAATTAATTACTATGTAAAATAAAATAATGCATTTTGGAAATGTTCTAAAATGAAATAAAAAAGGATTTGCAACAAACATTTGAAAATGCAGATTGTCTATTGAAATTATTGTCTTTGTGATTAGTAATCATAGGTGTAGATATTTCACTGTTTAAGAATAAAAAAACAGGGATAACAACTCAAACATTTGTACTGACTAAAAATAATGTTTACAGTAATAAGGAATTGACATGAACTAAAAAGAAGTAGAATAGTTGGTAGGAAAATGTCAGTTTTGTTATAAGCAAATAATTAAAAAGTTTGTCAAAGCACTTGAGGCATGTGGCAATATCAAAAGAGCGAGATAGATAAATAATCAGCATTGTAACAGAAAAGGATGCATAGATAGTGCAATGGTTATCAATGCAGAAAAGTGAATTAAGCAAGTTCTGTTCAAACCTGTTGCACTCACTTTTGCACCAGTGCCTTAGGGAAAGGTATGAATCTGTTTCTCCTAACCCCATTAGTTATGGGTTAAATAGTAGGACTGGGCTCTGTAGTTGTCAGTTGTTTATTTTGCATTTTTATAACAAGTTTCTTTATCAACATGTAATTAGGATTATTTTTTCTATGTGTGTCTGTTTTATGATTTTCCTTTTTAGGTTTGACGGAGGAAGAAATTTCCGATGCATTTATCAGGTCTGGAACTGTTGCACATGTTCCTCAGCCGATGGCTCCCTATCCATTGGTGCCTCCTCCACCAGTAGCTCAAGGTAAATAATTACTCTATGGATGATAGGTGAACTGAAAAACTATAGTAACATAAACAATTAGTTTTAAGAATTGAATGACATGAGTTTTATTTGAAGATATAGATTTTTTTTCATATTTTTCCTCTGTTAAAATTCTTCTGAGATCATAAATATTTCTTTTATAAGAATTGGTCATTTTCCCATAACATGTCCTAAGTATAAACTTTTTTCTTTTCTTTTTTATCAATAGATTTAATAATTTTATATTGATGAATACAATTTAATAACTTATTGATCAAATTTAAAATTTGATTTTTGTAAATATCTGAGTAGCTTCTCTTGAAATAATAATTATCTATTCTTAAACCAGGGTTTGTACAGGTCCTGGAAACCTTGAAAAATCATGAAAAATTTACAGGGCCTTTTCCAAACGTTGAAAAGTCCTGGTAAAACAGCAATAGCCCAAAGGCTCTTTGAAAAGTTCTGGAATTTTCTAAATTGGGCTGCCCACACATCCTTTTTCTCAATTCATGAAAGTCAAAATGGCAAATCCCAGAAATTTAGATTTTTTACAAGCTAAAATTGTCCTTTAAGAAAAATTTGTTATTTATGGTGAACAGTGATTTGTTTCCTTGATTAGACAAAGTTCGTGACCTGTAGTTACTTCTGTGTTTACTTGTCTAGGTGATGAGAAATAATATGAAGACGTGTCTTGTAGCTGCTACCCAAGAAAAGAGGAATTAGCAAAAGCATCAGAGACAAATAAACATCTCTGTCAAAGATAATTCACACTCATTGAATTTGTAGTTGAAAAGAAAATAATAAATTATTTTACAGTAATAAAATACATTTTAGTAGAATCTCAAAAAATTTATCAGTGTTTTTTAAAATTTGAACAGTTGAAGAAATTTTATTCACATGTAAATGTTCAAAAGAAAAAGCCCTTTTTATCTTTATTCAGCAGTAGGTAAATTCATGCTGAAAAAATAGCTACTTTACACATCTGGTATCAATGTGTAAACTATGTTTTTCTAAATTACAAAAAGTAACAAGTTTGAGAATCAAATTTGACTCAGAAAAATGTAGATGGCATGAATTATTGGAACCAGCTGTAGCTTTTCTTTGAACATCCCATCTGTCAAACTATTAAAAGATAAATCACAAAGTTTGTGTTTTTGAAATTGATGACCATTCACTTTGTGTGTGTGTGTGTGTGTGTGTGTGTGTGTGTGTGTGTTTCAGTCCTTGAAATATCTTAACATAGTCCTTGAGAAGTCCTGGAATTTTTTTTACACAGATCTGTGGGAACTCTGTGAAACATATTTACACAAATTTTAAGATTTATCTTTTTTGAGTCACCAAAATCTGAAGGCACATTGGAGGGGCAAAAGATGCTTTCCAAAAGCTAGACAGCAGATTAAGAGACAAGAAAATTTGAATAGAAATAAAGAAAATAGTGCTGTACTGCAATATAATATCAATCCTCTGATATGGCAGTGAATCCTGGACAATTTCTTCACAGATGAAGAGGAGACTTGAGACAACAGAAATATGGTTCTATAGAAAGATGTTGAGAATGCCATGGGCATAATATGTGACCCAGAAAAAAGTTTTAAAGAAAATGGGAACAAAAAGGACATTTGTACACTTGGAGTCAGAAAGTGATGGTTTAAATATTTGGGACACATAATAAAGAAAGAAGGCTTGGAGAATTTGACATTCAGAGGAGCAAAACAAGAGAAGCTGAGGGTAATATTAAGTAACCTACTTAATTCACCTTGTGTAAATGGATGGTTGAAAATAGACTGTGAAGGATAGTATTTTGACAAATGTTGCTTAGTGCTACAATGGATAGAAAGCAGTATAGTCATGATCACTCTTGTTCTGAAGGGACACAGTACATAAAAGAAGCTAACTTAGTTACACAATTTCTGTTAAACATTGCTGAGGAAGTTAGAAGTAATTTTAAAAAGTTTTTTGAAAAACATTTGAACAAAATTCCATTTCAATTGCTTGAGAAATACAACTGCATTAAAACTGACATGCATACACAGACAAAACTCATTTTATAAAAATTTTCTTTTTCATCAAAATTAAATTTTAACTGTTTTATGCAAACACTTATTTCAGTTATTCACAAATATAAACATTTCAAATTATTTTTTTTCTTTTTTCATATTTTTTTTTCTTTCTTTTTTTTCTATTTCTCCATTCATTACCTGTAGTGACACCTTGGATGCGAATTCGAGAAACAATGGTTGCTGGACTTCTTGTTTGGGGCTTGTCAAAAGCAGCACACAGATTTTATACAGTAAGTATGATTGTATTTACTCATTTCTACCCACACACCCACACATATATCTATCTATCTATCTATCTATCTAGATAGATAGATTTAAATAATGAAAATATTGCTTTTCACCTACATATATGCACTTCAATTTGCTGTCATGGGTATGACAATAAACTACATCCGGTTTTGAAGAGTGTGAAACCACTTCTTAATTGTTGTGTTCCTTTGTAAAAGAAATTACTAATGCTCCTAAGAAAATTAAATTTCAGCATTAAATGACCTATAAGGAGTTGATATGCCACTAAACAAACAACTTTGCATGCATACCCTCACAAAAACTACCTACCACAATCATGTTTAAACATATAGTGATTTGACTATTGTAGCCCCATAAGGGCAAAAGCAAACTTACTTTCACTCAAGTTTTTTAAATATATCTAATATTCTGTTTGGAAGGAATGTATTTCATACTTAATGAAGTGATTTTTTATGCTTTGATCTTTGATGTTGTACAGTGTTGTTCTGCTCGTGCTAAAGCAGCTTCAGTCTTACAATGCATAGTGACATGAATAAATGAGAATTTGTTATACCTCTTAGTAACTGAAGGTTTACTGTCACATCATATTGAAACATCGGTTCCTGTATGGTCACAAAAGTTAAGCAACATTGAGCCTAGTCAGTACCTAGAATAACAGATGCTGTAAGCTTGGATGTATGGATGGTGTAATGGATAATGGCTTGGAATTGTTAATCAGAGAGCTGAGTTCCAATTTCTGTTGTGTTTGTTGTATTCCCTTACGTGCAAATTGTTAGACATTTTCATGACAGTGGTCCTCAAGTATAGAATCCAGAGGTTGGCAGTGAATATTTCGGAGACAGTAAGAAAGCGTACTTTAGGTTCGCAGTGGATATCACAGCAGAGTGTAGTTCATCCTTCTCCTGGTCGCCTTTGGTCCTTCCGGTAGAGGAAACAAGATGGCCACCTTTATACACGACGAATACCGTGTTGTGCGGCTTCTGATTGGTCAACCTTCTATTGGTCGACTATAAAGGGAAATAAGTCATTCTGACTCGCTCACTAGTTATATGTAGTATATACCCAAAAAAACGTAACAGCCCCCCTTATTTTGGGTATATTATGGACTCTTCCTTCAAAATATTAGTAAAGTTAATAAATACTTTAATTCCAAAAATTATATTTTTTTTCTTTTTTTTTCTTTTTAAAAGGTAATTGTAACAAATACTTTAGTATTCCAAATTTTATTTTTTTTATTTTTTTTTATTTTCCTTGAAAATTAATATCCACAAAAATGAGTCATATCACTTTGTTCACAGTTAAGTACTTCAGGTTAATAAAACATGAACAACAATATTAAAACAGTTACTATCACTCCGGGTTAGAGTGATCCAGAGAGTCACTAAAAAGTGAAAAATTGTTATTTTATCCATAGCTGGGACCCATTAAAACAGTTACTATCACTCCGGGTCAGAGTGATCCAGAGAGTCATTTAGAAGAGGATTGGGCTCAAGGTAGGACCATTTACCTTTATACCCCGAAACTAAGGACTTACATTCATACCAAAAACTGAACTGACGCTTCTTAGGACAGTAACTAATGGATGCAGTTTTACGTCCTACTCAGGACCTAATAAGGACCTTACAGGGACTTAACGGATGCAGTTTTACGTCCTACCCAGGACCTTAATGGATGCAGTTTTATGTCTTGCCCAGGACCATTGAGGGCCTTAATGGATGCAGTTTTACGTCTTGCCCAGGACCATTAATGGACCTAAGAAGTCAGCACCAAATATTGCAGGAGCAAAAAGCCTGTAGTTTCCATTTCATAATCGGTTTTTACAAATAAATCCGCCATATCATTTCCCGATTGAACATATTCAATTTGTACTGTTTTCTTCTGTACTTGGTCCCTTAACAAACTGATATTTTATATTGATATGCTTTGATCTTTAATGTTGAATTTCTAGACAAAGCAATACTGCTCTGATCGCCGAGTAAATAATAATTGGCTCAGTTATTGCCAGTATTATAATTGTTTTTCATTAGCAATTTAAGAAAAATAACCTCTTGTGTTCTTTTTCACAATGCAATACATCCAGCTTCACAAGTAAAAAGTGAAAACTTTCGCTGTTTCTTAATTCCTGCTGATTATTGGGTTACCATCCGCTAGCTTAAAGCAATAGCCTGTTATACTGTTATGGTCTGGTGAATTGGCCCAATCAGCATCACAAAATTCTTCCAATTTTTAATAGTTTATTGGATTGTCAAAAATACTAGGCATCGACTATTAGTCCACTTCAGATAACGTAATACTTGCTTAAAAATTGTTAAAATGTACAGTCCACGGTTTATTTAAGTTTTGGGATAATTAGTAACCGTATAGCAGATTATTTTGCCTAGTTCATATCATCATGCAAATAATACTTCCGACCAATGTTCTGTATTCATTTTCACACTCCGCTATACCATCTTCCTTATTCATAATTGTGTTTCAATCCATTTCACATGGAGTAGTTCTTGTTTTGCAATTTTGCATGTTAAATTTCGATAAAAGCCATTCCATGTATCTCGATTAATTCATTGAAATAGTGTTGCCTTTAAATTTTTACTGTATAACAAGAAAAAGATGATAGTTCGACCCAAATTGGTCATTTTAAAACTCATTTCTAGAGAACTCTTGATTTTTAATAGCGCGGCCTCACTCTTTGATACAATTAACATATTTTCGACCCAAATAACCAGAATTACTGATATTTCATTATTAAATGTCTGTGTACAGACATGGGTCAACTTGAGGAGATTGAAATTATTGTCTCATTAAATAACAATGGATTAAATTATTCCATGTTTTTCCTCTCATTTTGAGTCCAAATAGTGACTTTTTTTTTTTAATTTTATTTTTTTTCTTAAAGTTTCCATACATAATCGTCACTTTTTTTGCTTTTTTTTTTTTTTTTTTTTTAAACCTTCTGGTGGTTCCATATATATTTCATAGCCGATAGTGCATTCTGAAAATAAGCCTTTTTAACATCCATATGATGTAGATCTTTACCACAATGGGCATCCATTTGCATCAAAACCCTAATTAAGACTTAATGTCTCTACATAAGTCATCCTCCCATATATCTATAAAAAAAAAAATCCGTTAGCTACAAAAACGAACATCGCACACTGGCGATCTATTCTTAGTTAAACTACAGTGTAAACCCAACGGCTGCCAATGATATTTCTATCATCAATTAAGACTTAAGATTTCTACATAAGTCGCCTCCCCCCCTTATATCTATGAAAATCCGTTAGCTATAAAACGAACCTTGTAGACTGACGATCTATCCTCAGTTCGCCCTACAGTACAGCTGCTGATGATATTTATCGTCATCCGGGGCGTTTTGATTCAAAAAGTGTCCCCCAATACTAAAGATTAAATTTCTTTATTTTTATTTTATTTGTCTTTTGAAGGCTTAAATTTCTTCATTTTTCTTTTGAAGGCATGGCCGCTCTGATCTTGACAGAATGTATGGCTTCTTGGTAGTTCCTTGAGATACATTTGTACCGCATAACAACAGTTAATATCACATTAATCCATTTCAAAATAGTCTGGCTTTTCTCCATTTTGGTCGGAATTTGCACCTGATTTTCTTCTTCTCGTATACCCCATCTGGTATAGTACCTTCCTCTGCTTGTGGACACTGAACGGGTTTTCTACCCATAATTAGGCCATACTAATTCGGGTTGGACTAGTTCCTCGCAATTAATATTCTCTTTATTATTTTTTATTTTTATTTTTTTTTAGGTTCCTCCCCTCGCTCAAAGGAATCTATCAATCTGACGCATCTGATCTTCCATATCATTTTAATAAATCATATAGTCTGGACTTGGCTTATCCTACCCAATAAATATGTCCCTTTTATTTTTCGGATCTAATTCCGCCCTGTGGTCAACATATATATAGCAAATTATATCAAAAATATGCATATCACTCACATTGGGCTCTTATTGAGTTTTTAGTTTCTCTGTTAATGCATAAAACCACAGCTTCTTGGGTAATTTAAATTCTATTAACAAACATCCAGCCATTTCAAAAAGTGTCCTCCAACTTTGTTCAGCGACTCCGTTCTTATGCGGAGAATAAGAACAGGTTTTCGCACGTTTTAATGCCTTCATTTATTTAATTTATTAGGAGGTTTTTGTAAGCATCAGAAGTAAATTCTCCACCATTATCTGTCCGAATTATTTTTAATTTTCCATGCGGGGAGTTCAGATAAATAGATTTTCGTTGATTGCATATTATCAAATTTATTTTCAGAAAGTAAATCATAAGCCCTGAGTATTCGGCAACAAAGTTTAAGTCATTTTTCCTTTAATACACGCATCACAATATTTTAAATCATTTGGAAGTGTAATTTTTATTCCAGTGACATGTTCTTGCAATCTTTTAACATCAGAACTATTACAGTGGCCTAATATTTTATGCCAAGTTCGCAGACTTAACACTTTTCAAATAATACAAACGTCCATATTGCTGTATATTAAATTCAGTTCTGTCTGGATATCTTGAATTTAAAATATATAAAGCCTTTTTTTTTTTTAAATAACATTCTATACATTTCCTCTAGTATTTTGCAAATAAGTACAGGCACTACCTCTCTTTGAAGCTAAATTATTAGCTCTGGTGCCGTCCAGTAACTCGATAAAATGTCAGTCAAGCTCAAAATTCGGGTCAAAATTAACAAATTTTGTTTCATCTCCAATTACATGATTTGTCGCACCCGAATTGACCGAATCACAAGTACTGGCCACAGTACTCAATCTAAACAAAAAAGACATATGCACGTCCATTCGAAAAAGTTTTTTTTTTTTTGTTTACAAAAGTCATTCCGTGTATAAAATTGACATTTCGCACGGACATGGCCGACATTATTACTACAACGAAAACAACATTTTTTTGCCTCGATTTTGGGGGGTACGTATTATTATATTGCTTCATAATTACGTAACGCAATTTTAAACTCAGTGAAAGTTACTTTTTGAGTTATAACTGTCGTTAAATGGTTTGAATGAAGGTAGCAAACCCTTCAAGACCATGGCTATTTGCAGCCCATCCCAGATAGTCTCACCTGCAATTTTAAAGCATTTGTGACATTCTCTGCTAGAATAATTGGTTACTGATTCATTTTCTTTTCTCTTTAATGCGGTTAGTTCAGTATATAAAGCAATAATTTTAGGCTTACCTTTTAACAAATAGTATTCATTTAAATTTGTATAGAGCTCGGCTTCCATTGTCCTTGGCTTCTCTGATTATTAAAGACAAACTCCAGTCATCCAGGAACTGAATTAACTCAGCGAAAACAGTCGCATTTCTTCATAAAATCATCATGCCCCCCCCACTCCTGGTCGACTTTGTAAAAGATGATGTCATGGAGTTTTGTATTCTTAGGTAGCCTAAAAACTTTGTCTCCCATAATTCATATCCAGATTCATTCCTGTCAAAATAAATCGTGATCTGGGCTTCATAACCTATGTTAGACATTTTCATGACGGTGGTCCTCGAGTATAGAATCCAGAGGTTGGCAGTGAATATTTCGGAGACAGTAGGAAAGCGTACTTTAGGTTCGCAGTGGATATCACAGCAGAGTGTAGTTCATCCTTCTCCTGGTCGCCTTTGGTCCTTCCGGTAGAGGAAACAAGATGGCCACCTTTATACACGACGAATACCGTGTTGTGCGGCTTCTGATTGGTCAACCATAAAGGGAAATAAGTCATTCTGACTCGCTCACTAGTTATATGTAGTATATACCCAAAAAACCGTAACACAAATACCCTTGGGAAAGGTAGGAATCCACCTCTTCTTCCTCCCAGCTATATATATCACTAAAACCATTATTATCTCAAAAAATAAAAATTGCATATAAAATATTTAGATTTTGGCATTAAATAACCTGTAAAAAGGTTGAAATGCCACTACATAAAAACAGCCAACAACCAATCTCTGTAAATTAATCTTTTGTGTTGCAATTGCCAAAGCTATATACTCCACCTCACAAGTATATAATGTGACACTGGGCTGTTTTCTACAGCTTATCCACAATTTTGATCCTAATATACATCTTATTTGAAAATTGGAATAATATAATAAAAAATTAATCAGACATTGTCAGTTAAATTTAATAAAACTTGTTTGAATATTACATTAAGATATAAAATTCTCTTTGCATGTTTCACATTAAAATTAACATTATAACCAAAGTTGAAATTTGTTATATCTACTTCTTAAAGTTGAAATAAGGTATCAACAGCTCTCAACAACTTATTCTGATCATTATTTTTTAGCTATATTGTTCTTACTAAAAACAACTTTCTATTTAACCAATCCAGATCCCAGAATAGAAATGTTTTTCTGTCCAGTGGGGTAATTTGGGTCATTTTTCAATTTGAGTCATCATAACTTTCAAACAGGCTGGAGCAAGGATTTCAAATCTTATTGATAGTTGCAAATGGGGTATTTCAAGCATGTTTATGCATGTCAAAGTCTACAAAATAACTTCCTCTCCTAATGGTGCACCATTCTACAACTACTTTTGTCATAGTTTTGAAATATTAGGTGGGGTAATTTGGGTCAAACACTCAATAACAAGCTGAGATGTGGAAATTCATGAATGGAACTAGTTACTTTCAACCAGAATAACAAACAAACTCTAAATATCTATGGAAGTACTTCTATGACAGCTAGGCAGAACATTTACTGCAGTAAAACTCATCCTCCAAATCAGTGTTTCTGTCCCCTTCCACATATAGGTTCTCCAGTGTCCCACACAAAATGCAAGCTGTGCTATCCTCATTTTCACTGTCTTCATTGCCTTCCTGCTCTTCACATTGACCTTCATTTTTCATAGCATCAACCAAAGACTTGTGAGACTTATTGCTTTCTGCTTTGCCTCTCTTGTTTCCACTTCCTCTTGAAGTCTTCGCAAGACAGCTGGAGTTGTTAGTACTTCTCCCTCCTTTGCTTGTGCACATTTGCATTTCTTCTTGGCAATTTTGAGTCAATAGAACCTCATAGAATATGTCGAAAAATTTATCAGTAGTTTCATAGTTGAGGTTTTCCGCAAAAGCTTTGGTGAGGACTTCTGGCTTTCTTAAATGAATCCGATTTCCCCAGCATTGTCTAAATGAGATCATCTAGTTCTTGTCAGGGGGAATTGTACTTGAACACTTTTTTTTTCACAAATTGTCTAGATAAGTCTTTATCATCAGCTTTATTTCTTCAGTTCTGCAAGGCCAGGCTAGAGCAGAGCAATGATTACGAGCTCCTCCTCTCGGTCCATCAACACTCACATTCTATTTGCTTCAGCTGGTTTCTAGGTGACCCAGCATCTCTGTGGTTCTCTGCTAATACCCAAGCTCTTTGCAGCACTATGTATACTTGCACCATCATTTTGGACCTTGCTGATTGCAGCTTGCAGCATGTCTGGGCTATACAATTCAGTTTTGCATTTGTATGTCTGAAGCATTCTATAAACTGGGCAACATTTTCTGGTTTAACAATCCAAAATTAATCTCAAATCACTAAATTTCATTCAACTCATATGATTTATAGATACATCTGAGGCTAAACATGCACTAGTTCACACCATTCCTTAAATAGCAACATGACCCAAATTACCCCACCAGACCAAATTTACAGTTTTTCCATTTCACCCAGTACCACTCAACTGATTGGTATATTTTTGGATACTTTGATAATTTCCCCATGCAAAATTGGTATCTGAACTTGTTTTCTGACAATTCTGGATTTTCAAGAGAAAGTTTGATTTACAAGTAAAAATAAACATACCTGAGTCAAAATAGGTCCTTCCTCTCTGACATCCAAGAACAAAAAGGACGATGCAATTGTTGCAGTTGTATCACAAGGTTAGAGGCTGATGCAATCCATAATGGTGGCAGCTTGCTGTTAAACCAAGTGATTTAGGAGAAATTAACCAGAATCAAAAGTTACCTCACTCCATCCTACTGAAGTATGTTGCATTAAATGTATTCCTGCAGAATTGATTGTTTTCAAAGATGAATTATTAATTTATTATGTAGAATTCATTTTCAGCTTGTATATTTATTTGTCTGTAATACATTATCTGAAAAATATTTCATGAAATGTATTTATTTGTTCCAGGAATATGTGTCCCCATATTTTGACCTCAAGTGGCCTCAGGAAAGGCGTCTAGAGGTGATTGAGAACAGTGTACTGGAAATGCAAAACAACTTAGTTGAGACAATGAAGAAAGTTCAAGAAGTGGTTGCTACTGTCCAGCACCAGCAAAAACAAATGCTTGTGTTAACAGAACAATTACTCAAAAACATGGTGAGTTATAAATAACTGATAAAAAAATAAAATGATTTCAAAATTTAGAAATGAATGGAATAGCAATTATGGCTGAACCAGTCCTAAGGTTTCTTTGAATATGATGTGTCTATGTGTATTGGAAGGATAATATGAAAGCTGTTTAAAAATAGTATTAACTTTGGAATATATAGAGGGTTTTTAAATAGTTTCTTGTTTGTTTCTGTCTGAATTACTGGAATGAGAAGTTACCATTATTTACACTATTTATATTTGGACCATTGTTGTTCTCATAATGTTTTGGTCATTGTACCCCCTTGGCCTTCATCAGGTGTATATCGATCAGTGTAATCTACAGGGAATTCTGAACAGGAGTAGACTGTTCTCATTCCACTGCCCATGTCTAGAAATATCATATAGTTATTTATAGTACTGCAGTACTATAAATAAGAACTAAACAATATCCCTAGAGATGGGCAGTAGAATGAGAACAGTCTACCCCCCACACACCCAGATTAAATAAAGGGTTCTGTTCAGAATGCTTAATAATTCTGTTAAAGTGTTTAGGTATTTGGTATCTTTTGATAATATTAATTTAATTTTCTCATTTTTTCTTCTTTTTAAGTAAAATGTTTTTAGTTATTCAAATGTTGTATGGACTATTTTGATCTCATTCTTTTTTGTTGCTACCATATTTTGTAACAGTGAAAAGAATGAACTCAATAATCTGAACAACTCTTGGAATGATTAATACCATATCTACAGATTAAAGAAGACAGCTTTCATTTATCTTTGCTCCCAATTAAGTTGAGGAAATTTTATCTTTTCTCTTGATTTTTACACAAATATTCACTTTATATTTAATTCATATTAAATACTTTCAAATAGTAGCCTATTTTATGCGATCCTTGTGTGGTAAATTAAGGTATCTGAATTTTTCTACATATGTGATATTTAAAAAAAAGAGAATTTTATAAATTTACTTTATATTAAAATTTACTTTTATTTTAATATTTATATTGGTGAACAGTTATGCCACATGTTTATTAGTATTTTAATAAAGTATTGAGAAAAGCCTTTTTGTCCCCAAATAACAATATCTGATGAATGATTTAAGTTATGTATCTTATGTATTGATTTTCCTCTCCTGTATTTCAGCCAAGTTCAGGTTCCATTTCTTTGCACCACAATGACCAAGCAGCAAATGAAATCAAAGCAGAATTGAACTCCATTAAAGGAATATTACTCAGCAGGTAATCGAAACTTTTAGATTTTAAATTAAAAATATTTTAAGCACACATATCTAACAATTCATTCAAATAAACACCTCAAAATAGAATGAGGAGTCAAGGCATTCATTTAGCAAAGACAAGTTGTATTCATCATTTATTTTTGTAAATATTATTATTACTAGGCAAATCTCATTTTGGCTAAGATTTAAGTATAGTATCTGTTCTTATCAGATTAATCTCTTTCTACTTCTCTTCTTTCATTCATTTTCTCACTGAAATCAATTAGTGCCTTTTCCCCTCTTTCCACATGATCAAAACTCGTTATTTATGACATATTGGCAGGGCGTAACGATCGTGTGAACTAACAAAAGGAGGGACAAACACAATTATAATAGGATGTCAACAATATTAAATCAGTTAAGATATTCAAATGATCTAATTACTGATTGCTTATTAAGCATTGATAATTTTTTTAAAATTCTGAATCTATATTTTCTTTTTACAAATATACTTAATATTATTGCTACCATTTTTATAAATATGTTGCCTAAAATAAGAATAATGATTGTTTTACCAAATTACAGTATTTCCTGCCATATAAAGTACACTCCCCACCCACCAGGTTTTTTATACCCTGACAGTTGAGTTACTGGTACTAGACTAACACTTAAAGATTCTTGTTTGACATCTCTTGGTGATCACAGAATTAAATATATATTATTATAAATTAATAAATTAAAATTATAAACAAAAATGATGATAATATAAGAAAAACCCCTGTAAATGATTAATTATGGTTACAAATCAAAATAATGTTAAATATAATTTTTCCTAAATATTACTTGCCAAATTGTGTATGCTATATGCTGGGACACCTGGTACTTATTTTCCAGTGTTCTCACCTCTTCATCAATGCAACATTTTAGCCTCTAAATAATTGTAACTCTAGAGAATATCACAAAACTCATAAACATTCTTTTTTATGAAATAACTAGTTGCTTATGGCAACTTTTTACTAAACAAATTTTCTCTTCTTTATTAGTATGACTGAAAAGCAGTACTCACTTAGTTTAAGATTTTAACGTGATATTTCTCCTCTTTCTATTTATTTTACTCATTATTCTTTGTCCTTGAGAGGTCATGATATTTATAGCTATCACAATGATGATTACTTATATATTGTTCATATATGTTTCCTTTTACTATGTAATTACTTTACTCTTTGTCATAAGGAGGCACAGTAGGGTGATGGATAGCGGCTCAGACTGAGGGATCATAGAGCCGAGTTCAAATTCCAGTCAAATCCATTACATTCACTTACATGCTAATACCCTTGGGAAAGGTATGAATCCTCTTTTTCTCTCCCCAGCTATGGGTAAATAGCAGGACAGACCGGGTTCTATAGCCTTGGGTGGCAACTGGTCTACCGCAGAAAAAAATGGCAACCTACTGCAGAAAAAATCTCTCGTCAGTCATGTATTGAAAGATACATGATCACCTAAGCGTGTATCATGCATGACACATAACTGACTTTGTCATATCTTAATAAAATTCATTGACAATGTATTCAGCATCACACTTCCTCTTCATTCTTTATGAATGTCTCCCTCTGTTTGGAAAGGTTATGGGCTCACCAGTATTACACGTTAAAGCATGACTGATATTTTGTGCAATACTTTAGAACATTTTTGGTCATAAAAAGTAAGAAAAATATTCTCCATTAGTGGAACTAATAGGAGTTATCAGATTAAAAAAAAATCAATATTAAAACAAATACATACTTGTAACACTAGAGAAAATGACTTAACTCCATGATGAAAACAGAGTCAGACATGTCTTGTATATAAAATATTGCAAGAATAAAATGGCAGCTTTACAAGTCATATATTTAAAAAATGTAGATCTTTGAGTTGGACAGATGTTCGTAAGAATCTCTTTTAACATTTGAAAATTTGTACTGTCACGCAATCTATAAAAAGTGCTTAAAGAGGCAAGAGAGAAAAGGTGTGACTGTGGTAGCGAACAGGAGACACAGGTTGTTGGATTGTTTGACTTTAGCTACTCTGTTGGTTGAAGGAAATGCATTAGGGAACTTTATTACAACCCAAAAGCAACTGGCTACAACATTTATGTACAGAGGAACAAAATTCATGTATTCTAGGAATACATCAACTTTTTAAAAACTGAATTTAAGAATTTATTTCACCTTTTTTTTTTCTTTTTCATTAAGATCAGAATGTATTCAAAATTCTTTGTAACATTGAAAATAGTATCAAAAGGAAAATTTTCCTCATTTACCATTTACAGCAATGTAATGCAGAATGAAACTAAAACTTGAAGTAAAGATTTAAAAAAGTCATTATTCAGTTTGTTATCTTATATCTTTAGTTTTATGATTTTAGCATGTATGCTTATTGTTCTGTCTTGACAGAACAAGAAGCAGAACAATATACAGGTGTCTCATAAAAAAAGATTACACATTTTGAAGCTTTCTCAAGGAAATTCAAGCAACTAGAACCAACTAATTTAAATGATGCATATGAAGGCAGTATTTATTATAAATGCATGCTCTTGAGATTTTGTCATCACATGTATTCAAATTGATGTTCATTATGATACAGACATTGCTGACGACATGACACAATGGAATCACAAGCAGCAATCAAAAGTTCAATAGGTATTTGGCTGCATTCTTGCTCTACTGAAACTTTCATTTCAGTGATTGTTGCTGGCTTTGTAGCATAGACTTTATCTTTTCAATATCACCACAAGGAAAATTCTAAAAGAGTGAGGTCCAGTGAATGAGGAGGACATTCTACAGAACCTCACCTTCTGATCCATCTGTTTAGCAAGATTTCATTCGCTTACAATCGTACATAATGATGGTAATGTGGGGGGGGGTACTCACTCTTGCTGTAAATAAAATTTCTCATCTCCCAAAACTTCTCTAATTATTGGCATGATAGACTGTTGCGGGGGTTTAGGGTTGGTGTATATACATTTTTTGAGACCTTGTATATAAATGTAAATGTTTTTTTTTGTTTTAATTCACATTCTCTGTCTATTTTAGGAAACAGTTCCCAACAGTACCAAACATTAGTGCCACTCTTCCCCCTTGGCAGTTAAATGCTTCTATGCCTGCTGCTGCTGCAACTCCTCAAGCTCTAGAACCAGAAACCAAAGCCTGCCAAATTCCTAATAACAAGCTGGATATACTTCCAAACCTGTCAAGCCAAACATCAGCTAATATTGACGAAGCATCCAACTCTGAAAGGGTAATAAGTATTGAAGACAACAAAGATGTAGATAATCCGAACTATGTTTCGGTGAATGGGGGATCAAATGAACAGCAGGAAGTAGATGACAAACATGATAAACATGGCTCCAAGAAATCCAGGACAAAAAAGGAAGATTCAAAAAAGAAAAATAACAATAATAGTATAAATGGCTTTTCAACAGAGCAAACTAACAAATTTGATAAATCCCATGTCATCTAAAGTTATTCTTTTTTTTTTTATATGCTTCTTTTTTTTTTTTTCTTTTTTTTTAACAAATAAATATCTTGTTTAATTTCATTTTAAATTCTTGATCAGGTTACAAATATAGCAATCTGATTTTTATTAACGGATGTAAATAACCTGACTTTGTAAAATCAAGATTTCCAAAATGCTATAAAATAACATTCTTTCTTAGTATTAAAAAAAATATTCTTATTACTTTATAAAATCTACAAGATGGACTTTGTCTGTGTTTTTTTTTTATTCATGCCTTCATTCCTTAATCAATTTTTACCAACGCTTCTGTGGAGCATTTCAAATCACTACTTCATTGTTAGCGCTCTTAATAAATCCAGAAAAAATTTGTATATTTTATCCTTCAAGAAGAATGACAAATTTAGATTAGTAGTTTTTGAAGTCACAGTTTTTTGGGAGTTTTTTTAACTAGAGGATTTCTGTGTCAGTCTTGGTATAAAATAAGTAACTCCACAGATTCATAGTACCTAAGCTTTAAAATGAATTTTTAAAAATGAAATATATTTCTTAGAGCTTTTATTTAGTTCTAATTTCAGGTTAATGGATTAAATATTTCCAATAAGCAAAATATTTTGCTCTATTTCAAAACTAATTTAAATATGTGACCTTAAACTGACCCAGTCCCAGATCTAGCCATGGTCATGTCACTAAATACTATCTTGTCACTTCACCAACTGCAATCTGGTTACTGGCATGAGGCAGAATTGTCCCTTGATTTCTAGCCGAAGAGATCTTCTTGATGCTGAAGTTGGATTTGCTGGATCACAAGGAATTAGGTATGTTCTGTGTTGCAATTTGCTATTAAAAGTAACAAAATTGCACTGTGGTAAATTTGAATGGATTGTCTATGAATGTTGTCTCATGTTTCCTTAGATGTTGAAATCAATAAAGAATGACGCAACATCAGATTTGATGATAAAAAGATGGAAGAAAGGAAAATCTGAAGTTTTATTTTCCTTAATCTAGACATTACAGCAACAGTCTTATAAAGTTCATAAGTCAATAAAATGCTTGGAGAAAGTTAAAAAAATATAAACAAACAAATATTAACAATTAAATTCTTTAGTATGAGTTCCCTTTTGGATCCATGAGAAAGATAAAAAAAAATAGTGTTGTCAAACTTCCTAATTATCAGAATTCACTCATAAGAGAAACAGCCTAAAAATTACCATCAGCAGCAACAGTTATTCTGGCTTGAGCTAAGCAACTACGGTTCTGTTCTGTTCTCAATGAAGCTGTAATCTCTATTCTTCTCTTAATAACTAACTTATTTGGTGACTGCTATTAGCTGTTTATATAAAAATGGACATTTTTCTGGAGAAGGGCAGAGCATGTTGGGAGGGCATGTCAAATTTGTTGGAAAATATTTTTACAATATTAGATTCTTTGTCCTTCCACCCCTAATTGATACACAGTAGGGATTCTGGTTTTACCTGGCTAAGAATTTCACAGTAAGATCAACTGGCTTTGCCCAACAGTTCTCAGCATAGTATTTCTCTATTTCTTCCTTTTCTTTCCTTCCTGCTTTTTTTTCTCTAGAAATAGGTGTCTGAAAGCTTTGTTCAACACTGTCCACTAACCTTATTTCTCAATAGGAGTGTATTTGTTACCCAAAGATTTAGATAACAAACTCCAATGACTAATTGCAAGTACACATGTTACATGCCTGTTAGCATATTTTCCTTCATTCAAATTAACATTGAGTTTCGAATCCCGAAGGAAACTTACATTTTCAAAAATTATCATTCTTTTTTTGCTTTTAACCACACTTCATACTGGTACAAATGGACTGAAGATTTTTTTTTGGTAAAAAATTTGATTTTAGCACCATTTTAAGCCTGCATTTATTGCAATGTAATTTTTTTTTATTAAAAATCTTCCAAAAATAAAATATACTTTTCTGAAACTTTATTTGAGGAGCATTAGCTGATTTAAAGTATAATTAATCTGATTTAAAACAAATATTAATTTACCTTCAATCATTCTTGACAAACAATAAAGCTTCTAAGCTATGGCCATTGCTTAGAACACATCCATTAAGCTGATGAGTAGGAGTCTAATTTGTTAGCCAAGGATAGTGAGTTCAATCTTAGGTAGGCCCACAAGAGTTCCCATCAATACATTTTAATAGTAGAAAAAAAAATTTCCAGCAATAGATTTTAATAGTAAAAAAAAAAATGACCAAAGTTCCCAAGAAAATTAAATGACCCATGAAGAGTTGATATGCTGTTAAACCAACCAAACAAACTTTGAATTCATATATTTGCTATATCTGTTCAAACAAAATGTACTATGGCAACTTTGGCATCTACTTGCTTCCTTGTATTTACTGCGTTATTAAATATGTAATCACTGGAATTAATGAAAGCATAGAGGTAATAAGTTTCGTTAGGATGGATGAAAGTTTGGACATAAAATTATAGAAGAGAAGCAGATCAACACAAAAAAAGACCTTGACTTGGATGTGTCTGGTGTAGGTAAGAGTTATGTTCTTTTGACTATATGGCCGTCTAGAGAAGACAGTCTCCCATCATGGATGGAATCTATGAGAATAGTCATTCTTGGTTGTCAACGGATCACAGTTAATCTATGCATGCAAGTATATAAGACATTTATTATCATGAGTGAGTTAGGGTTGATGGTTCAGAAAGCACTAGTTAGATTTGTGATTTTGTTTTGTGGCTACTCAGATTTGCAACTATTTTTTTTTTGTTTTTGTTACTTAGTCTTCTCATTTTTGTTGTCTTTATCACAGCATTTTAGTTACCACACTCTCCAACCTTCCTGCTTTTAGAAAGTTATCAAATGTGACATACATTTGAGGAAGGGTGGAGAGCACAGCATCTGAAATGTAATAAAAACAAAGATGAAACTGGTCTGAAAGAATTATTGTATAAAGGTTAATATATCATTAACAATTTTTTTAATTTATGTTCAATGCACTGCAGTCTTTTTCTAATTTAAAATGATATGACTACCATCTGTCATAACTAATACTAGATACAGCAGCCTCAATTACTGTTTTTCTGATAATGATTCCAAAAAGAATAGCTTGTTTATTTTCAATCATCCTCTATCTTTCCATTTTTCATCAATGACCTATGGCAGAAAAGCTTAAGATGTGTAGATATAGATAAAATTCATAGATAAATAATCCTTTTCAGCTTTGCTTACAGCTTTAAACAACTAAATTTTGGTCTGCCATGTTGATTTCACTCAAGTGTAGCTATACACTTCTGAAAGTTATCAGGTATCAAATGATGTGTATAGGTTTTGTTTTACAGAAAATGTATAGGCAAGGGTTTATATTTTTTTATTATAAAAAAGAAGAGAATAAAAAATTGTAAAAACTTCTGGTTGACTGAAAAATTGTTTTTATTCCTTGGAAATTGAAAGGGTCAAAAAATTAGCTTGAATGTTATTTTTATTTCAGTTTGTAATTTCACAGCTTTATCAAAATTGTCATTCTTGGTAAAAAAATAAAAATAAAGAAAGGGGAAAAAAAAACTTGTGTAATACTAACTGAAGTACCAATCTACACTAGGGAAGGGATCAGCTGGTTATAATGATAAATGGATTCTTTTGTACTGTAGTTGGCAAGTCAGTCAAGCTATGTGAAATTGCTGGATATAAATAGTTCTGAAAAGTAGCCCCACATCTAATATTAATGTGAAGTATTATAAATTTGTAACAGAAATGTCTATTTTGCAGTATTTTCATTTTTTATGAAACTCATATCCCTTTAGGACATAGATGATCATAGCTCTCCACAGATTTCTTTTTTTCTTTTTCTTTAAAGGAAATTTTAATTTCTGAATTGCTACGACTCTTTGGAAAGAAAATTGTTTCTCATTACTCTCCCATGCCTGAAAATTGATGGGAGGGTATTCTAATACCTATTTCTTATTTTATTTTTTTACTACATGTTCACTCAATACAAAGTGCATGAGCCACTCAAAGTAGAGTTTGGACATAAGAGTAAATGCAGATTAAGAAATGTATGATAAATCATAGTTGACCCCAGACTTGAAGAGGTTAAAATTGTAGTGATTAGGAAAGCCTCCTCTAAGGTGTTTGATCCATAAAGTAGCAGTTCTTGGGAAGAAGCTGTCAGAGTGGAACTTCTTTTTACCAGTGGAATACAAAGGGAATATGAATGATTTGACTGTGTACATGGCATGGTGTATCCTAGCTGCAATGGTCTAAACTGGAATGTAGCTTGCCTGAATATTTGCCATGGAAATATTGATAGGCTTGGGACCTCTTGCATATTCTAGGTGGGGAGAGTGTAAAATAAGTCACTATTGCTAGCATCTTCTGTTTTAACCTATAATTTGAGGAAGTTGGCTTGAAGTATAAAGGGCTTTAATATACAGGGGTCATAATTGGATATAGTTGACAAAAAAAAAAAAGTAGGAGTCCATTCTCACCACCTCTACCCTTTGAATTTATTAAGCATGAGAGAGTACATTCTCCATGGTTCTGAATTTAGAGTTTTTTTCTAGACTGGCTGCTACTCATATAGATAAACATGTTCATTGCTAAAGGATGCTAACATTTTTGTTACTTCCCCTATTTTTGTTACAAACAATGTTTACTTCCTCCTCTTGGAAATTTGCTCCTTGTTTTCATTTTGCCCTCAGTTGTGATTAATACCTCTTATTTAGTTTGTGGGGAATCCCTAGTGTTCTATCCTTGGACTACATTCATTTGTGCTAATTTCTACATAAAAATAAAACCTAAAAAAGAAGTTAAAATTTCATTCAAACCCATTGTGATCTTTAAAATATTTTTGCTTCCTTATTTGCAAGAATAGTTGATTGGTTAGCCAAATTTACTTATTGGCCATCTAAATCAACTAATTTAGTTACTATCACTTATTCTTACAATTCATAGATAAAAGATACAAAATTTACTTCAGATATTTTGAAATTAATGAAAACAGGTTTAAATTATAAAGAAGTCAGAAAATGCATGGTGGTGTAATGGATAGTAGCTTGGATTGAGGAACTGGAGAGCTGAGTTCAAATTCCATTCTGATCCATTACATTCACTTACATGCTAAATACCCTTGGGAAAGGTATGAATCTTCTTCCCCCCCCCCCAGCTATGGATAAATAGCAAGACAGTCTATAGCTTTGGGTGGTAACCAGTCTAGGAGTAAGTAACACTGAATTCAAAACTGTATGTAGCCCTGGCGTAACACATACTATACAGTTAAAGAAAGGATCATTTGCATTGGTTCGATGATCTCAACTACTGTTGACCTGGATGGATAAAGAAGTATTGTAAAGCTGGAAATATTTTAGCTTGAATGTGATGCTTTGAATAAATAAGAAGTTTTAGAGCTTAACAACAATTAGCTTTCTCACCAACCTCTAATTTTGAGATTGAAATTCTGTTTTGTTCACAAAATGAAAGAAAACATTAAACAACAAATGTATTTTTAAAAATATGTCTTTAATAATCTTATTACCAAACAAGATAAACATAGTAACAGATGTGGTTTCATTTCCTAGAATTTATTAAAGCATGTCAATGTACATTGTAAGTAAACATTCTTTTAAGCTTAGTCAAAAAATAATACTCTTTCCATTTAGTCGGAAAAAGATTTTTAAAAATGATAGGCACATAGAATCTTTTTTTAACCTGACAGTGTTTTATAAAAAAAATCAAGAAGGGAATAGTTTTTAAACAGTAGGAAACAACTAAAAGAAACCATGCAGCAGTCAGAATGCAAATTAATTCCATTAAACAAAAATAAAATAGAGAAAATCCTTAATAAATGCAGATAGAAATATGTTAAGTCTTTAACAACTCCTGATCCACATCTTGCAAAGAAAATCAGTACTTTCAAAATTTTTTAAAAGTTATATTGTTAATGACAGATTAAAAATAACTACACTATTTCCCTTTTTTATATTAAAGAGAAAACATTTATGTAAAATTCAGGATAGAAAATTTCATTGTGATAATATGTTTACTTGCATATAATCTATTTTCTTTCAGCCAAAGCTAAACTTAAGTAACAGAATATATAGAAATATTTGCAAAGTATCCTGAGCTGCATTGCACAACAAAAACAATGACTTACTTTAAATGTTCCTTTAAAAAAAGAAGCAATATTAATGATATATTTTTAAAATGTCTTCAGTGACATTTAGGCTCAGTATCAAGTCTATTATATTTATCAAATTTATAATTATTTGCAAATGTTAGTTATCACTATGTTTCAAGGATTCTTTTCTGCTTATACTCATTATTTTCTTATTGCAAAAAAAAGAAGTAAATAATTCTGTAATTTGTAGTTAATAGACATTGAGTTCTCTCTTGGACATTTTTTGAAAATTTTGTGGGGATGATTTTATACTTCTTTAAAAATTACTTGGAAACTAATTGGACTGGAATTTGCTTTGTTTTTCAAGTTAGAATATTTTAATGATATTGTGCTAACAAATATTAATTACACTGTGCCATTTTTACAGTTTTACCATAATATACAGAAATTGGGTCCATATTTTATACATAGTTAATTCATA